AGTAAATAGTGAATACGGCCCTAACACTAAGGGACTATTGCACAATAAGAGAATAAGTAAGTAAATAGTGAATACGGCCCTAACACTGCACAATCTTTTCCCTTTTTTCTAACGATATCTTTGATGGCTCCTACAATGATTCTGTTTTCTATCGTCATTCAAATTCACTGAAACATTCAAAGCGTTGATGGTGGCCATTGCTAGCCGGCCGGCGCCGCGTCAATCCGAATTAATACCCAACGATTAACCTTGTCAAGTTATTACTGTGTTAAACATGTTTTCTATATTGTACATGAAAGTGTTCCTAGACGCACCGAATGACTCAGTGCACGGTTAACAACTATTAATCTATCAATAAATTATGGACAAAGTCCATAGCTTTTGACTCTTAATTTATAATCCACCAATCCGGCTGGGGCTTCATTGTGTGGACGGGTAGATTATCTAGGTTTGATATTAACTATGATGCGATAGAGAGCGGGCACTATTATTTATGATCATGTACGATGTTGTGGTTTCAGGAAATTCTTCGAAACTATGGTAAGTGCGTAGTGGTATGGTAAGAAGAAAGATAGGACTTGGACGCGCAATAAGTTAAGATGTCATTTGAAAAAAAATATGTAGAAGCGGCTTGGATCTTTACGCAATACTTGGAGAATGCATCACGGTAGGTCTAAGCTTCGTTATTATCATTATTATTAATTTAGACTTGGATATCAGAGAAAAGTCGAACTTCAGGATAAAAAGAACCTCTGGCAAACTTTGAAAAACCTCATAATCACCGCTCCAGCAGTTGTTATCGTCTCATAATCACCGGTCGCTCGACCAATCACAGCTCGAGAAACTCTATATTACACCCATAATCATTTTGGCTTTAGGCGAATAATTGTTAATTATTGTATTTAACATTATAACATGTAAAATTATAATTCAAATTGGATCCGGCATTTTATTATTATTGAGGGCCAAGGGATTTTCAGAAGAAGATATTGACTACGTATTATTTTCTCGCCAAATCATTTACTAAAATGAGAACTGACTTTTTGTCGACGTTTTCATAGACCATTATACCTCTCGGTCCTCTCAGGTATGTTTAAGTGTAACTTTTAGAAACCATAAAATATCCGTTAAGGTTATCATACTTCAGTAGTAAATTGTTCTTTTCTCTAGCTGAGAGATCAGAGTCAGGTCCCTCTTCTGTTATATTTCTAATTTTCACCTATGACGGCGCCATCACACATCCCCTGAAAATACTTGACAATGCCTTGTCGCCCTTGGGCAAGTAGCTTAATTACTATGATTGAGAAGATAGATACAAAATATATAATCTAAATTTTGAAGTGTCCCGCATGGGACAACACGAAGAATCGAGTGGTCCACACTTGCCATCTGAAGTGGCCCCCATTGGCACCTCTCTGGACTATAGCAATGAAAACAAGGCTGTAATCTAAGCCATGCTTGTACTTTTAATTACTATGATTGAGAAGATAGATACAAAGTATATAATCTAAATTTTGAAGTGTCCCGCATGGGACAACACGAAGAATCGAGAGGTCCACACTTGCCATCTGAAGTGGCCCCCATTGGCACCTCTCTGGACTATAGCAATGAACTATATACCCTGTAATCTAAGCCATGCTTGTACTTATCTTTTTCCGAGCGAGCGGCAGTTCATATTTGATCAACAACAGGAGAAAACTTCACTAACCTATTCTAGTCGTACTACATGAAGGTCTGTTTATGTACACTTCGTCTAGACAAAGTTTGCTAACAAGGGTCTAAACTTTCCGTTGATGGCATCTTTTCCGGTCAAAACTAAAAATTAAGCACACGATAATGGATTGACAAATAACATCTGAAAGATTATTGAAGACAGAATCCATGCACGTACTCTTACTTTTATGTGTCTTAATTTCACATTTGAAGATCATTTGTAAGGTATTTTGCTGGTGTGACGTAGATCTTTGAACGGACGAATTTGTTAATAAAATGTTTCACATACCAAACCTCAGTGAATAGTACCGCTATCTTAGCGAAAAATCAGTAAAGGTTCACGGCCTGTAATCTCCAAGAGTGAACAAGATTCTTGATATAAAAGCAAAACAGAGTAACCTAAACTGAATTTTGACTTGCCAGGCGTTACCTTGCTCTTTGATAACACAAGTAAAGTTTGCTGCCTGAAGACTGAACCAGTGCAATTCCAATTTAGATGATTTGCCTCTGTGGATTTACGAAAAGGCATGTAATGTTTAGGGCAATTTAATGAAAACCACGCTTACAAACGAAGGGTAAAGGTCGTAACAAAAATCCAAAAGAAACATAAAAGAAGATTGGGGAAATTTAAACGCGAGGCTGACTGATGCTGCATGGAACATTCATCGCCAATTGAACCCTCAATAAAATGTAACAAAAATTCTAATATAACAAACTTTATATAATAACTCGCTTGTTAGACAAATTTTGGGAGATGCCTTTACTCTTTGAAAGAATACTAATAAAGCTTGGACAAGAATTTGAAGCTTGAAGAATAAAAAAACAACAACAGTGAAATGCATTGGCATCGTTTGCCAAATGAATCTTCGAGCGAAAGGAACAAAAGCTGCATAGCCAAATATTGTCTTCTAACTTACCAATGATTCAAGATTCCCTACGACAAATCCACAGATAAACCAACTCTTCCTTCTAAAATCCTAAACCGTGCTTAGAAACTTGAAGTGAGTTAACTAAAGAGTACTGTTCTAATCAGCGAAGGACAGTCTGCCACGCGCCATGGTCACGTAACAATGAACAAGTACAATCCTTGTACAGGAATTTCTCATCGTACACCCGGCAGTATATGTGAGCTTATTATCAATATCTCAATCGCTAAGAGCTCCCAAAGTTCATGTTAATTAATCTGAATCCTAAAATAACTAAAGACATCCCGGCTTATATTATGCTACCGGATATCAAGGCAGCTCAAGGTCGAACGGAAGAACCCCGTGAACACTCCGATTTCCGCCATTTTGTAAGTCGCATTTCACCAGCTGCTTATCAAGGCCTCGGTTCTTCCTGTATCGAGCATTGAAGTCAAAAGCAATTACATGAAATAGATACATCGTATTATGAGATTAAATACATGTTCACAAGATGTTGAGTCGCAAACCATTGTAACATTTATTTATTCTAACTATATCGTTCAAAACTACAAGCATTTATAATCGAAAGCCGAAATTCCCCATCGTTGTCGGATCTTGCTTCCTTCCCTAAATCATACTCTAAGAATCGATATAAATCTGACATAAGATTTCGGCAAATTTTATCATATTTTTCTAGCAGCAGACACTAACCGCAATGGTACCAGGAGGTTTTTATGAATAGATTGCGGTTAGATCAATACAAAGATGTTTGTAGGATATTTTGAAACTGTGACATTCAGCACATGATTTATCGTAATAGGCCCTAGCCATCTTGTAGCTTAATTTCCTTTAATTCCAATGTGTTTTGTAGCAAGTGATGTTCCAAATTTATATCGGCTTTTCTGTCTCGCCCTCATACAGTATCGTCTTAATATCGCTGCATTTGCTTAAATTCTGTCTTAATATATGGATAAGTAATTTATTATTTTACTTAGGTCCTTGATCATTTTATTACTTTTTATTTTATTTTCATTCGTTGTTTGTCATCTTCTTTTATTCTTTCTTCCATTAATTAATTCATCCATCCATCCACCCACCCACCCACCCATCCATCCATCCATCCATTCGTTCATTTATTCTTGCATTCTTTCATTCATTCATTCTCTTTTTTCTTCCGTTTTTGTAATTTTTTTCTTCCTTTTTGCCTTTTTTCCATTCTTTTCTTTTCTTTCTATTTCTTCCTTGGTTTGTTTCTTACCTTCTCGTTTTTTAATCGTAGATAAATTTAAATTAAGTTGTCCTTCTTATTTTCTTTCATCCTAACTCAACGTCCTTTTAACTTGGGCTTTCCTTGGTTACTCCCATTGCCCTCATATTCCTCTCTTTCCGTTTCCTCAATTAAAACTAAAACTATGTTTTTAATTTTTGAAGAATACCAGCCAATCAGATACTCCTGATGATATATAGTCCTCACTACTTAACAGAGTTTTGATCCATCACAAGACGTGGCTCTTATTATTCACGATCAGTCTCGTGATCACCAAGGTAGATGTGAAGTATAATATAACTTTATACATCATTTTGCGGCGCCCTAAAAGCTAAATACCCGGTAATTATGGCTCCTGGTGAATTCATCCGTTGCTTAAACATCATAAACAACACGCTATTTATCTTATCATCATTAATTGGATTTGAGGAACGGACCATAAGATAATTGAGGAGGAGTTCCGTAAATCCCCACCCAAACCCCAAAGAAATATATCAAGCAAATACGTGAAACCTCTCCTTTCAGTACAGAAATATCAAGCAAACCCAAAACAAATGCGTGCAGAGGTTGTTACAAAGAAAGGAAGGAAGAAAGGAAGAAATGAACGAACGAACAAACTAACAAACGAAAGAAAGAAAGAACGAACGAAAGAGAGAAAGAAA